ACTAAATGAGGCACACACGTCTGCATAAACTTTGCCCTGTCATCTTTGGACCTCACACAAGTTCTAATCATATGCATATAAGTCCAAATTATGAAAAACCCATGACATACATAAATGAATATTGTAAAAAATGCAGTTATATTGTTTGAAAAGGTGTCAGTGTCGGGGCAGGTGAGTTTGACAATTACCCAGTTCACACAAAACAGTCTGTCAATTTTTGCACCACATAACTTTAGTCTTGACGTTAGCAGAATATTGATGGAAAAGAGGCTGAAAGGTGTGAGCCAGGAGAAACATATCAGCTGAGAGAGCCTCCTCTTTGTCATGACAAAGTGGTAGTGAAGTGGTCGACATATAGCCAGATATCTGTCGTAGGCCATCACTGCTAGAATGGATAATTCAGAACAAGCAAATGAATACATGACAAAAGCCTGTAAAAGGCATCCTTCATATGAGATCTGTTGAGAGGAAGAAAACAAATCAAAAAGGAATTTGGGGTAGAAACCTGTGGTCCCATAAAGTCCATTAATGCAAAAACTGCACAACAAGATATACATGGGTTCATGTAGGTGTTGATCTAAGATAATGATCATGATGATAGAGGTATTCAAAAACAAAATCACACAATAATACAGTAAAGTGAGTGAAAAGATAGCAATTCTGTAATGCATTGTCTCATTTATCCCTGATAGAAGGAAAATTCTCACAACAGAAACATTATCCATGATTTATACAGCAAATTATCACAGTTTTGAAATATTCAAAGGTTACCTGTCTGGTGTCACAACCTACAGTAAGTGGTTACATAGCAAGGCGTTAGGTAGTAGTCTGTCTGCTCTGACTCTGGTCTCCTTCCACACCACTTATTAGTCACAGCTTTGACTATGACAACAACACATTTGGGAATTCAAACTCTGAGTACTGGTCCAGGAACACTTGAATGTGAGTGATTTAAACAACCAGCGGACTAATCTCTCCACCTGTACATGTAGTGTATTTATGAAAAATTATTAAATTATAAAATAGCTATAACTTTGTGATTCTGTCTAGGCCAGCAGAGAAGGCCTTGCTGGCCCTGATGGCCCACCACTGCATTTTGGTCATGTGTGGGCTGCTTCAGGTTGCAACCATTTATTATTTTTATACTAAAATTAGAATACATTTCATGATATATCACTAATTAATGTATTATTTGATTGAATTCTCACATATGTGCATAGCTGCACGCACACTCTATTTTAAATGACACAATGCATATCACGTTAAAGCACAAACGTTTGGTAATAAGTGTATAAATGACCTGTTTAGCTGGACATACATGCATTTTGTTCCTGTAGTTTCACATGCAGCTATTACTAGAAGAGGTGTTAGACCATAAGGGTGATTAGGTGCACCATCTGTCAAATTCCTCCTTGTGAAAGTAAATACCGTTTTTTCTACTGAAAGGTGATACTCTGCTTGTTGTTGTTAACCCTTAGAGACCCACATAGACCAGTTTTTGTCTTTTTATGGGAGGATCTTTGGGGGGTGGGGGATCTTTAGGGGGAGGTAGCAGGTAAACAGTATATGCCACATTGAAGTGGGGTACATCATCTGAAAGCTGAGAACCTGAAGAGTCATTTGAGAAACAGCTCAGAAGTTTGTGTAGTTTTAAATCAGAAATAAAAACTAAATAATCAATGAATTCATTAATTTCAATAAATTGTATGTAGGGCCATAGGCACCGCAGCGGATTTCCTGTTCTACGGCCTGATGTCACAGCATCTATGAAAACCAGAATCACCTCCAACGCGCCGAAGCTCCGGAGCCGAGTTTTAACGAAGGAACTCGAAGGACCAACCCGACCGCGACGAAGTCGTCTCACAGTAAGAGGCTTGGTGCCTGAGCATAGTT